CTTTCCTTTTTTTCTTTTTCTTTCTTTCTCTCTTTTTTCTTTTCTTTTCTTTTGAGACGGAATCTCCCTCTACCCAGAATGGAGTGCAGTGGCGTGACCTCAGCTCACCACAACCTCTGCCTCTGGAGTTTAAGCAATTCTCCTGCCTCAGCCTCTGCAGCAGCAGGGACTACTGGCTGTGCCACCCCACCTGGCCAATTTTTAGTAGAGACGGGGTTTCACCATCTTAGCCAGGCTGGTCTCAATCTCCTGACCTTGTGATCCACCCGCCTCGGCCTCCCAAAGTGCTAGGATTACAGGCGTGAGCCACCGTGCCTGGCCAGCACCGTCATTTTCTCCTCCTTGGACCCCTTGGTTCTCTTCCCAATCCCCGGCAGCTGCTTTGCAGGCTCCTTGCTGGTTCCTGTGTCTCCGAGCTGAGTCCCGAATTCTCTTCCTCTCCTTGCTCAGCCACTCCCCCTTTGTGACCTTGTCCATCTTCAAGGACTTGATGCTGATGAGAGATGTCTGTCTTCAAGTCCTGATTTGTTCCTTTGTGAAAGCGAGCCCAGCAGCCGGTCCAAGCCACAGCTGGATTTTGAGCTCCTACCTGCTGCCAGCTCTGCCCTTTCCCTCATCCTCAGTTGCTGAAGCCAAGATTGATTTCTCTTCCTTTCATGATCCTTCACCTTTTGCCAAAACTATCATGGTGACCTCCTTGCTGACTTCACACTGGAGACAGCGGGCTCCCTGGGATCCACTCTGCGCATGGCAGCCAATGTCATCTGGCAAACCTTTGCTGAAATCCTCTTCTGTCCTTGGGTTGTCCTGGAAACCTGAACTCCATCTGCAGCCTGGCTCGCAAAGCCCACGTGCCACTGGGACACCATGTCATGTCCCTCTCCTGCTGCCCCTTCCTAGCACACATGGCACTTGACCCTGTGGTCTCCTCATCTTTGTGTGGCCGATGTCTTTTTCTCATTCAGCTTTCAGTTTAAATCTTAAATGGCTCTTAGTTTATCACCTTCTTCACCTTAAAGTAAGTACTCATCCTAAGTCGCACTGCTCTGTTTTAACTCCCTGCTTGGCAGTTCAAATGGCCTCATTTATCCTGCTTTTTCTCTCTCCCTCCACCAGAGGGAGAGCAGGGACCTCCTCCAGCTCAGTCAGGCAACATCCCCGGGAACAGGGATCTCCAACCTTTTTGGCACCAGTGACAAGTTTTCCACAGATGGGGGTGGGGTCGGGGGCTGGGGTGATGGTTTGGGGATGAAACTGGTCCACTTCAGATCATCAGGCATTCGTTAGATGCTCATAAGGACCACACAACCTAGATTCCTCACACACGCAGTTCACAACAGTGTCTGAAACCCTGTGAGAGTGTAAGGCCACCACTGACTGGAGAGGAGGCAGAGCTCAGGAGGTCACACGAGCATTGGGGAGCATCTGTACATACAGATGAGGCTTCGCTCACTTGCCCACCACTCACCTCCTGCTCTGTGGCCCAGTTCTTAACAGGGTCACGGACCAGTGTCAGGACCCCTGCCCTAGAACATGCTCAGCACAGCTCCACTTCGTGCACATTCCTTGGTGGCCTGAGCTTTTCTTGAAGCTCCATCAGGATTCCTCTGTCAGTATTTTTGTAGACCACTTGCTGTCACTATAAGTGGTGCTTGGTAGAAGTGACTGCATTAATGGGATAGAGATAACACCCAAAGCCTATGGTAGGAAGCATGGTGACTAACTTGGGGGCACTAATTCTTGTCTTTTTTTTTTTTTTTTTCATTTTTGCAGAGATGGGGGTCTTGTCATGTTGCCCAAACTGGTTTCAAAGTCCTGGGCTCAAGCAATCATCCTGCCTCTGCCTCCATAAGTGTTGGGATTACAGGCGTGAGCCACTGTGCCCAGAATGGAGGAACTTTGTCTTCTTTTTCTTTTTTTTGAGATGGAGTCTCGCTCTGTTGCCAGGCTGGAGTGCTGTGGCACTATCTCAGCTCACTAAAACCTCCGTCTCCCAGGTTCAAGCCATTCTCCTGCCTCAGCCTCCTCAGTTGCTGGGACTATAGGTGTCTACTGCCATGCCTGGCTAATTTTTGTATTTTTAGTAGAGTCAGGGTTTCACCACGTTGGCCAGGCTGGTGTCAAAGTCCTTACCTCGAGATATCCACCTGCCTTAGCCTCTGAAAATACTGGGATTGCAGGCGTGAGCCACTGCGCCCAGCATGAGGGGACTTTTTATAAGTATTTTAATTTACTTATTTATTTGTAATTTGGATGGATAGATCATGTTGGCCTTATAATGTATAAGCAGGAGCACAGATTCTGGGGTCTCGGGGACAAGTCCCACTGTGCCCCTTGCTTTATCTCTCTGAGCCTTAGTTTCCTCATCTGTACAAAGGGCAGAAATGCCCTTCGTGTGCAGCAGAGTTACTGAAGAAAGGATGGATGCAGTGCTGTTACGGCAGTGCCAACCCAAGGCACAAGGAAAAACCATGAAACCAATTCTAGCTTACACTATGCCCCAAACTGGATTTTCCATTTGACTATAATTCCTGCCAATAAGGGTTCAAAACGTTGTCTAAGGAAAGTGGGTTGGTGGTTGCCCGGGGCTGGAGGAGTTGGGAGGAAATGAGGAGTGACTGCTAATGGAGACAGGGTTTCCTTCTGGGATGATGAGAATGTCTTGAAACTGGTCATGGTGATAGCGGCACGTACCTACGAGTACACTAAAAACCACCAAACCGTACACTTTAGACATGTGAATTGTGTGGCATGTGAATTAAACCTCAAGTCGTTATTTTTAAAATGTTGTCTAAGAGACCTGTGTGCCTCCTGTAAGCTCCCATGAAAATGCAAATGAAGACACAGAAGAAAATCAACATTGAACATTTACACCCTCTCCTAAAGCTGTGTTTGACGGGTGACATTTCCTCCCTCCTCCCCTCTCTCCCTCCCTCCCTCTCTTCCTCCCTCCCTTCCTCCCTCCCTTCCTCCCTTCCTTCCTTCCTTCTGTTTTTTGGCAGTAGAGACAGGGTCTCACTGTGTTGCCCAGGCTGGACTCGAACTCCTGGAATCAAGCAATCTTTCCACCTTGGCCTCCCAAAATGCTGACGTTATAGGCTTGAGAACTGGCAGGGAGAATGGGCGACTGACTTTGCCTTGTGAAGCGGAGTGACCCTGCTCTGTCCTTTCCTCAGAGACCTAGGGTTGGTACCAACCAGAAGACTAGCAGCTGCTCTTCTACAGGGCCCAGGCTGCTTTCTCCATAGTCATTGAGAGGCGAACCCTCAAACAGAGAGTGTGTCAGCGGGGGGTGGGCAGCCGATGGATGTCATTGTACCCTTGGAGGAACAGAACTCAGTGGGCACTGAGTCAGGAAGCCGGGAGATGCAGGGATTCGGTCAGTCATGGGGCCCGTCCCTTATTGTGCTTGTCTCATGCAGATATTCTTTCTCCATTTCCTGGCACCCTGGGAGTGCTTCCTCCTCACAGCTGTAGCCTGGATCACAATGCAGCTGTCTGCCAGCCATTGTGCTATTTAGTCCTTGTGGGCCAACCAACCCACTCAGGCCTCACGTCCATCTCCTGCCTACTGGCCTTGGCCAACGCATTCACCTACACCATCCTCAAAGTGCTACCCGAGTTCTGCAGGCCTCGCCTCATCACCCACTTCTTCTGCGACCTCTGCCCTGCTCAGACTCTCTTGCTCCAGCACATGTACCAATGAGCTTGCCCTGTTCTTCAGTTTCCTGGTGGCTCTTGCACCCTGAGTCCTGGTTGTGGTCTCCTACGGGTATGCTGGTGGGGATTCGTTCCACCCAGGGCTGAGGAAAGGCCTTTTCCAGCTGTGCTGCCCACCTCACTGTGACCTGTCTTCTCCACCTCGCTTCAGTCCCCAGCTACATCCTTCCCAACTCTGCATACTCTCAGTGCCGTGTATGGTCCTCACTCATGTGCTCTACCCCTTCTTCTACAGCACGTGGATCAAGGACGTTAAGAGGGCTTTGTGCAGGCCCTGGGGAAAGAAAGGGTTTACTAGGCACTAGTCACGTGACATCAAGGCGGCACGCCTTCTCCACGATGAGGCTGCCGTTGGGCCTGATGCTTTACTGGGGGTTGGGCGAGGGATCCAATCACACAGGAGTTTGAAACTTATTGTAGAAGACCCATTGGCTGAAAGCTAATTTGTATGCCAGGTTTCTCCCCATTCCAACAAATGTCAACTATTTCTGTTGCATTTTTAGTTGTAAATCATACATCTTTGCTGTCTGTTTGTAGCTTATGAAAGCAGAACATGGTCGTTGGATAATTTGTGCAATTACAGAGACTTGTGGAATGACATACACAAAATTACTTCTGTACGGAAAATTCTATGAGCAAAGATAAAATGAAGCAATGTGGAGCAAAAGTACTTCCAATTATGGTAAATATTTGGTATCTTGAACATGGAAAGAGTACTCTCCAGTCAATAACTAAAATGTGACTATTCCAATTATTAAAAAAAACACAAAAAGGATATGAATGGATGGTTCTCAAAAGAGGAGATCCCACAGGCCAGATGTCACATGAATTGCATTTAAACAACATAAGGGATCGATGGAAAAGTCATACAATATAGAGATATGATTTTGGAACATGTTCTGCTTGGAGTGTCTTATGGGCTGAGTGTGTACCCCCAAAATTTATATGTGGAAGCCCTCACCCTCAACGTGCATGGATTTGGAGACAGGGCCTCTAAGAAGGCCACCGAGGTTGAATGACATCACAGGAGCAGGCTGCTGGTCCTATAGCACTGAAGCCTCTATAGGGAAAGGAAGAGAGCCTTGGATCCTCAGTCCCTCAAAGTCCTAACAGGACCATTCATGGCCGCTCCCGGATGCTGGAAGATGGGATTGGCAGGGCTTTGACAATATCTGAAAAGTCCTGTTTTTGCTCCCCCTGCTGTGTTTCTAGACCCTGCCCTCCACATACAAATAACAGCTTGAGCAATTAGCATTCCCTTCCTCACTTCCCACTAAATGTGCCTGTGCTTCAGCTCACCCCCACCCAGGAGCTACGGGTAAAGCCACAGAAACAGGTTGAGCAAGGCAACTCTCTGCTGCACCTCTCCACTTGCACCCCGTTCCTCAACATCCACATCAAATGTCTTCCGAAGCCTCTTGATGGTCGTTTCTCAGAACACGTGCCCTGAGCCCAGCTTGGGCCATTCTCATCTGGCTCCCTGTGATGTCCTAGTGTCTATGGCACCCTCTCAGTCCTTGGCCTGACTCCCAGCCATGGGCTGAGTTCCTTGGTGTGGGGAAATTTGAGAATCTGGAGTTTTTTCTGAGGAAGACAGTTATGTGCATCCATCATCTCCTTAAATGCAGGAACCCTCAATGGAGTTATGACTATCAGGTCCACTTTATGAATGAAGGAACAGACTTGGAGAGGCCTCGCTGTTCTGTCTATGGGGGTGGTAGGCAGGGGAATAATTGATGCTTCTGACAATTAAGTGCTCGGTGTATGTTCTAAGAACTATGCTCCTCACCCTGCAAGAGTCTTATCCACCCAAATCTTCCTTTTTAGACTGTGGGTGAGTGACTTCTTCTCCTTGGGCTGACTCTGGGCCGGCTAGGGTACCTAGGTTAGGCCTTCTAAGGTATCACTGCCTTGTTTCTTCCCTCCATACTGGTAACTTGAGGGAGAACCTCAGACAGAATAGAAGCTTTGGAGCCAGAAACACCTGTCTATGAATCTCTGTTTAATATCTTGCCAAGTTTCTGATAAGTAATGCAATTTTCACGTTTGTCATTAGGAATGAAATTTTGTTTATTGCATGAACTTCCCTAACATTGATTTTGACACCAAGAGGGTGTTCAACAAATGGTGGCCTGTGTTTTCCTTTCATGATCTCAAGAAGACCACTCCCTGTAAAACCAGCTGGTACCCGATGTTAAGGAAAACGTGCAGTGGTGTCCTGCATGCGGGATAGCCCACCTTTTCCAACTCAGACTGAGCAACCCTGGCTGGTGCTGTCATGCTGCTGGACTTGTGATCTGGCAAAGAGGAGGAGTAGGATGTGGGTCCCGGTGGATACATAGAAGGATGCCACCTCTCAGTTACCCTGTCTGGACTTATGGCAGGCTCTGGCCCCCTCCTCCTCATTCCTCTCTGTTCCATCCTGTACTTTCCACACTGCTGCCTCCAGGGTCTTATTGCTGAGATGAATCCCACTCTCCTTGTGGACAATCTTGAGACAAATGTGACCGAAGAGCTCCTTTTCAAGCTATTCCACCAGGCTGGGCCAGGAATCAAGGTGAAAATTCCAAAAGATAAGGATGGTAAACCAAAGCAATTTGCATCTATGAATTTCACACACGAAGTATCTACTCTTAGTGGAATTAAACTCTATGGAAGGCCTATCCAAGTTCAACTTAGACAGGAAGTAGTCATGTCTCGCACAATATCAGCTTACCATGCCCCCAGCCTTGTGTTGCTAATTCCAGCCCTGCCCCCAAATCTCCCAGTGGTGGGAATGGAAGGACAGTGGGTAACAGGGCTCTATCAGCACAGATACTTCAGAGATCTTTCCTCTTCTCCAGAAAATTTTCAGAGACAAGCAGTGATGAACAGTGATTTCAGAAAAAATGCCATCTTTGCTTCTCCACCTCTGGATAAACTAGGATTTCACCAGCATCCGTTCAATCACACAATCGTACTTCGAACCAGTCTTTGAGCTCGCAGTGGTGCCAAGATGCACCCTCATCACAGCGCAGAGTCAGATGGAATTCTCATCCCTACCTAGCGGTTCGACATTATAGCCAGGAACAGCGTCACACTGATCATGGATCTGACAATCATTAATAGAGGATGCAGAGATGATTTCTTCTACGATGATTGGAACCACAATGGCTGGATCATGACTGTGATAACAGAAGAGACAGTCGTAGCAACGGAAAATGGCTCTCATCTTGACACTAACAAGTGTTAAAATGACATTGTTTTTATAGGATCATTTTAGGCCCTTTGTCTAAGTTGGTGTGGAAACATTTTGTTGAGAACCTGTACAGAGCAGCCTTGCAAGTTGTCACATTTCTTTATAAACTTTTGTAAATGTATAGCTACAATTTAATACAAAAATGAAAATTATTGTGGTTTTATTACATGATTAACAGCCTTTCACCCCTGGGTTTTATGCAGAGGAAGGGTTTTATGCAAAACAATGTGCCACAACTCCTAATCCTTTTAGACACTTTAGGAGGGATTGAATTCTACAGATTGGTTGTATGATAAAGCAGATATATATTTTTAAATTGTACTTTAAGTTCTGGGGTACATGTGCAGATCACGCAGAGACTGCATAGTTACACATATGGCAATGTGGTTTGCTGCCTCCATCCCCTCATCACCTATATCTGGCATTTCTCCCCATGTTGTCCCTCCCTGACCTCCCCACCCCCACACTGTCCTTCCCTTGGCCTCCCCCCAACAGACCCCAGTGTGTGATGCTCCCCTCCCTGTGTCCATGTGTTCTCATTGTTCATCACCCACCTGTGAGTGAGAACATGCGGTGTTGGATTTTCTGTTCTTGTGTCAGTTTGCTGAGAATGATGGTTTCCAGATTCATCCATGTCCCTACAAAGGACACAAACTCATCATTTTTGATGGCTGCATAATATTCCATGGTGTATATGTGCCACATTTTCCCTGTCCAGTCTATCATCGATGGGCATTTGGGTTGGTTCCAGGTCTTTGCTATTGTAAACAGTGCCGCTATGAACATACGTATGCATGTGTCTTTATAATAGAATGATTTATAATCCTTTGGGTATATACCCAGTAATGGGATTGCTGGGTCAAATGGAATTTCTGTTTCTAGGTCCTTGAGGAAACGCCACACTGTCTTCCACAATGGTTGAACTAGTTTACACTCCTACCAACAGTGTAAAAATGTTCCTATTTCTCCACATCCTCTCCAGCATCTGTTGTCTCCAGATTTTTAAATGATTGCCATTCTTTTTTTTTTTTTTTTTTTTTTTGTAGAAAGTGGTTTATTTAGAGAGAGAGAGAAACAGGAGAAGGAGAGAGAAAGAAACAGCTAACTCTCACACTGAGTGAGAGAAAGAAAAGATGGAATCCAGGAGAGGAAAGCAGCTTCCATATTGAGTGGAAGGGAATAGAGAGAGATGGAATTTAGGAGGGGAAGACAGGCTTCCACGAGAGAGTGTGGAAGGGGACTCCAGAGGGGAAATCTAGGATAGAGGAAAAACAGCTTCCATGAGAGCGTTCGTGGAAGGGGATCCAAACATGGAGTCCCTAATGATCGCCATTCTAACTGGTGTGAGGTGGTATCTCAGTGTGGTTTTGATTTTCATTTCTCAATAATCAGTGGTGATGAGCATTTTTTCACATATTTGTGGCCCTCATATATGTCTTCTTTTGAAAAGTATCTGTTCATATCCTTTACCCACTTTTGGATGGGTTTGTTTGTTTTTTTCTTGTAAATCTGTTTTAGTTCTTTGTAGATTCTGGATGTTAGCCCTTTGTCAGATGGGTAGATGGCACAAATTTTTTCCCGTTCTGTTGGTTGCTGGTTCACCCTAATGATTGTTTCTTTTGCTGTACAGAAGTTCTGAGTTTAATTAGGTCCCATTTGTCTATTTTGGCTTTTGTTGCCATTGCTTTTGGTGTTTTAATCATAAAGTCCTTGCCTATGCCTATGTCCTGAATGGTTTTGCCTAGGTTTTCTTCTAGGGTTTTTATAGTTTTAGGACTTATGTTTAAGTCTTTAATCCATCTGGAGTTAATTTTAGTGTAAGGTATCAGGAAGGGGTCCAGTTTCTGCTTTCTGCACATGGCTAGCCAGTTTTCCCAACTCCATTTATTAAACAGGGAATCCTTTCCCCATTGCTTGTTTTTGTCAGGTTTGTCAAAGATCAGATGGTTGTAGATGTGTGGCATTGCCTCCAGGGTAGAGCAGATATTTTAATTACCGTTT